AGCCTAGTGTCTTAACAAGATCCCTGTATCAATAAATAAAAAGGGGCTTGGAATGTAGCTCAGTGTGAAGACCCAAGATTAAATCCCCAGTCCTAAAATAAATAAATCAAAAGAGATATAATTTAAAGTACACACAGCATAGCATCCATAGCACCAACCCTCAAAATCTGGGAAGAAGAATGCTTTGGATTTAGGGCTGAACTTAGAGTCACTAAAGCCAGGGAATTGTTTGTGGGTGGCATCTATGGTGGAAATATCAAACCAACTCTCTTTTTGTGTTTGATTTTGAAGATGCTTCAAATTCAACTTGAGAAGGATATCATCGTAGAATTTATTTTAAAAAATGAAGATTTCAAGTATGTCTTCATGTTGGGCACACTTTTCATGAGGCTGATGAGCACTGTGATTGATCGCTGCAAGTACTTGGAAACTTTCTACAAAGACAATTGAAAAAATCAAGAGCCAGAACTGAAATGGAGAGTTTGCACTGATGCATGTAGGTGAGTTTATTGATGAGCTGCTGCACAGTTCTGCCCTGGCTACAGAAACACTGTGAGCTCGAAGAAGCTGAGCAGTTGGATGATGTGTAGTCTAAGGAAGAGGAAGAAGATGAGAAGTTAGAAAGAGTGTCATCACCTGAGCATCGTTGGAGAAGCTACCGAGACTTGGACAAGCCCTGTGGCTTTCCCATGCTGCACTACGGGAGGAGTAGGAGTCATCTCCCAGAAGGTGGAGCTGATCTCCCAAAAGAAGAAGTCCTCCACCCCCCAGAGAAAGGAAGGCTTTAGAGCAAGAGCCCAAGATGCCACAGAAGCAGGTCCCGAGATCGATGACAGATCCTGCTCCAGGTCCCCAGGTCATCACCGTAGTCAAAGACACAGGAGCCACTCAGACTCCTGAAAGGTCAAAGAAAAGGCATAAGAAGAGTCGGAGAGGGAATGAGTAATGAATTCAGTTTGGTTTCAGTCCAAATGGCCTCCTGTGGATATGAGGGTAGAAATCTATGTGGAAGGATTAAGAGCTGCTCTCCTGGCAGCTATAATATTCTTTGTTTTTTGTACTGAGTTTCTTTTCTTTCCTTCTTTTTTAAATGGAAGAGGTGCTGAGTTTTGTATCTCTTTTTTTCTGCTGTAAACATCAAGGATAATGTTTCCTAAGGTCAGTTTTTTACCCAATCAGCTACAATTATATTCAAACTTATGAGGGTAGAAAGGATCTGAGAATTGGGGATGTGAGAAAAGATATGGCCACACTGGTGACCTTTTGCCTTTTCATTATTAAACCTGAGACACTCATTTGTCAAAAAAAAAAAGTATACACAAGCACAAACAGAGGGAGATAAGAAATGAAATAAACGTGACAAAATGTTAACAACTGGTGAATCCATGTGAAGCATAAGCAAGAGCTACTGCACTTACAACTGTTGTGTAGATCAGAAATTTTACAGAGTAAACGCTGGGGTAATGGGCCATTTTATCCGACTTTAAAATGGAGGAAAAAAATCAACAATTTCTAGAGAACATAACTTGCCAAAACTGACGCAAGATGTAATAATGAAAAAAAAGGTGGAACAATGAATCTGAAATCATTCCACAACCACAACAGCTATTCATCATGGGTCAAATTGCTTTACCCTATAATCTGATAATAAACAGGGGATATAACTTCAGTTTCTTTGCATTTACTTAAACATGTTCTATGAGCTAGTATGTGTGGCCTGTTTTGGAGAACAACCCTTGTGCAGCTGAGAAGAATGTGTATTCTGATTTTGTGGGGTGGAACACTCTGTAGACATCTAATAAATCCATTTGTTCAAGAGTTTGGTTGAGTTCTAGTGTTTCCTTGTTGATTTTTTGTTGTTGTTTTTTGGGGGGGGTTGTTTTGTTTTTTGTTTTTTGAGACAGGGTCTCACTATGTAGTTGAGACTGACCTGGAACTCACTGTGTAGCCCAGGCTGGTCTCGAACTCACAGCGATCCTCCTGCCTCAGCCTCCCGAGTGCTGGGATTACAGGCATGCACCACCATGCCTGGCCCTAAAAAGAATATATTTTCATTTGCTAATCTCTCAGCTCATTTCCTAATAATAATAGACCCCTTTTTTTTTGCTTAAAGCATTTCAAGTATTCATATAGTATCTCACATTCTGTATAATTTTGAACAGCCACCACGCCCGGCCCTGATCTATTTGTGATAGTGAGGTATTAGGCTCCTCACTACTATTGTAGTAGTGCTTATTTGATTTTTCATGTCTGTTAATATTTGTTTTATATAGTTAGGTGCACATAAAAACAGCAAATAAAATATGAAAAAATGTTCAACATTACTGTTCATTTGAGAGGTACAGATGAAAACAACACTGAGATTCCACCTCACCCCACAAAGAATGGCTGCTATGAAGAAATCAACCAATAACAAATGCTGGCGGGGCTGTGGGGAGAAAGGAACCCTTCTCCACTGTTGGTGGGAGAGCAGACTGGTGCAACCACTGTGGAAATCAATATGGAGATACCTCAAAGAGCTAGGATTAGAGGTTCCACTCGACCCAGCTATTTCCCTGCTGGGTTATCTTCCCTAAAGAATGAAAAACATCATACCACAGCAATATATGTACACCCATGTTTACAGCGACACAGTTTGTAATAGCTAAAGCTTAGAAACAGCCCAAATGCCCATCAACTGATGACTGGATAAAGAGGATGTGTTTTTTTTTTGTACTATTCAGCCTTCAGGGTTGATAAATTAGACACCTTTATAGCTAAATGGATGCACATTGAGGTCATAATCTTAAGTGAAATAAATAAGACATGTGTGTAAATATCAAAGTGTCTCTGGTGTGAGAAACTGCAAGTATAAATAAGGACCAAAATGTATAAATAGTGTGAAATAGGAAGAAAAGATCAAAATGGAAAGAAGGGGAAGTGGGGGGTAGGTGAATTCATCCCAGTCAGAAACTGCCCAGATGCCTGGGGTGACAGAAATCCCAGCTGCTGAGTCTCTGCCAAGCTTTTTTCATTCAAGATACCAGCCTTCAATGTTACTTCTCTGAGGGAGAGCCACTCAGGTCAGGGCCACAGCTACAGCCCAAGGAATCTAGCCCACCTTCTCAAGTTAGGATTTGAAGTGTCCCCACTGCCAGTCCTTCCCAGCTGAAGTCTGATTGTGCTACCACATGCATGATGGCCTGTCTTCCTAAGCTCACCTCACAGAGCCCAGAAGAGACAGAGTGAGGGTACAGGGAATGGGGTTCCCAGCCTGACCCACTCTTCGTGGGCAATCCCTCTTTCATACTTGCTATCCTCACCACTCCCATCCAATGCAGCTCTTGGTAGCCCCAGGCTAGGTCGCCACCCGCAGGAGCTGCCAGCTTCAAAGCTGAAGTGACAATCAGCCACTGAGGGGGTCAGCCCACACATCACCATTCCACCAACCACAAAGGATGCTGAACAGGATTCATTCCAGAGTAGCATCAAGAGCCTACTCCAGGAATTCCAACATTTCAACCCTGACCCCGTCACTGGGTATGGAGACATCCACTTCATCCTACCCCATGCCCTCCTAGGTTTTGGCCCTGAAAGACACCTCTCCTCAATTTGGGCACAAACCTTGCCTCCATGCATCCAATCCCTTATAGCCAGTAGGACTTGCCTCTCCTGACTCTACTTCCTGAATCACCTTTCTCTCTCAAGGGTGATCAACCTCGATTCATTTGGTTCATAAGCACACACACGTACCAACCAGAAGAAAGTCACACCTTCAGTGTTATACCATCACTTGTTCCCCTTGTCTCTGAGATGCCCAGCCTCTCAGGAATGACAGCTGGCAGACCCATACTTGCCATGGCTCACTGCAATGGGCGTATGTTTCAGTCTCAGGCACAACGAGCCCTGGACCTCCGCTGAAGGAAGCCAGCCCCACTGTCTGGATGTCGCTGACATCAGAACACGAACCACAGACAAAATCTCCTGTGGTCTCAGCACACAGTGTGGAAGATGGAGCTGGGACACACAAGCATCTCTTTTTGGAAAATGTGTGCCATGGGGATGTGTGGACCGTGCCCACTTGGGGCTGTGCCCATTTACTCTAGGAACCGACAGCCCTTTTACAAATGAGGGAAAGGGAGCCACTCTATGGAAGGGCTTGTTGGCTGGCTGACTTAGAGGATGCAGAATGTCTGGCCCCTGACCATCCATTCTGGCTGCTGATGGGCAGTTTGCCCAGGTTCGCACACACTCAAGGCCCCAACACCAACCCAGAGGTGAAACCCCTTTTTTCTCCTATTCCCTAAGCCTTCTTTCTGCTCTGCCACCCACTAGAATATGACCTCTGCCTCCATCCTTCTACAGAAAGGAGGGAGGGGGAACTGACAGGGTTTGGAAACTGAGTTTCAAAGACGGAAGACAGTGTACCTGTGCATGGTGCCACCAGGGGGAGCTACTGAGTCCAGAGGACTGGGCCCAGAAATAGGAAAGATGAGCTCACGTGTGCCCTATAAAGCCAGTTGGAAACAGTCTCAGGAGAGACCACCAGAGGAAACCCAGGGAAGAGATCAAGGATGATGAGGAACAGCAAGGGAGGGCAATAGGGAAGGAGCAGGTCAGCGAGCCAGAGGAAGAAAGGCAGAAGACACCGCAGCCCAGGAAGGGGCTCACTACTTCCTCCTAAAGGTGGGGACCCCGGGTGCACGTAGGAACGGGTTCTGGTTAGAACCCAGAGAGGAGTGTTAGGAGAGATCTTGAAGAGGGCCTTTGAGGGGAGGTAGGAAATGTTCCTGTGGCTGGGCCCTTCCCACACAGGATAGAGCTCCTGCCCAGAAGTTGGCCTAGACCCCCCTTGGCGAACAGGCCCACCACAGCAGACCCGGGTACTGTACTTTATCTGCTCTGAACGGGGCAGTTCTCACCCTTCTCCTGCCCTACTTTCAGGCCCCAACCCAAAGAAAGAGGGCAGACCACAGAACATGAGAGGTACTTTAATTTGACACTCTGTGAACAAGGTTGAACAGGGGGCAGAAGGGAGACAGAGAGGAGGCTGTCACTGAAGAAGGGGAGGGAGTCAGCCTGACCCCAGCTCCCGGGCTCCACAGGTATTAGCTGGTGGTCTCCTGTGAAGATGCTGGCTTCAATCTGTCAAGCAGAGCAGAGTCAGGGCCAACTCACAGCCCTCCCAAACAGCTGGGACAGTGGGAAGGGGTGTGGTAGGCATATCACTCACTTCCAAGGGTCTGGAACTTATCAATGAGGGAATGCAGGGCCGCTGAAACAGAGAAACACAACCCGCTGTGCCAGACACAGATACAGGATCCCAAATCCCTGGCTGTCCCTGCACCCCGACTGCATTCCAGCCCCTGTCCAAACCACCCCGGGGCCAACTTTTCCACCCATCACCTGCACGCAATGTCCACAACACAACAACAGGCACCAGGAGCTCCCAAGTGTTTTGGCAAGGCAAATCCCCCCAGAACTTGTTGAAGGCAAACATGCGTACAATAACAAACACTACGAAAGCTGAACCAAGCAGCACTTAAAGGGAAATGCTCTGGGATTAGCAGAGCATGTGCGGTGCAGGCGAAGAAGAGTACACTGCTCTGTGTGCACACTCCAGCAGTCGATGCCAGGCCTGCTCAGTGCACCCCCAACTCCCACAGGAACATCTGTCCTACGATGCGGCCTGTACCTAAAGCCCGGCCCCACCCCAGATACCTGCCCCAAGACATGGAGGTCTGTTTCTGCCTCCCCAACCCTGCCCCAGCCTGGGGTTTGTTATACAGTACCTAGTTGCTTTTTGAGGTCATCTATTTCTTTCTGGAGCACAAGGCACTAGTCCAGCAGATAGGGTAGAAAGAGAAATGGTGGGTAATATTCTGGCCTCTTCTCTCCTCATCCTCCCACTCACCCCCAGTCCTTACGTCCCCACATATTCCACAGCCATGTGGGGAGATTAGCTCCGCATCCAAGGAATAGAAGTGCCCTGTCTCAGAGAGGGGCCAGCGGAGCAGTGCACTCTTCACACTCAGCAGAGAGTGCAGGGGGCACCCCAGTCAGTTCAGGCTGGACTTGAAACCCACCATCCACCTGGGGTCTACATTTCTAGGGGCTGGCCAAAGCATTACCTGGGAGCAGCCCTGTGCTCCAGGGAGTGGCTGCTGCCTTTCCAGAATTGGGGCAAGCACAGTTGGTTCCTGGTCATCTGCAAGAGAACACAAAATCCAGCTCTGCAGCCTGGGACTGAAGTTGACAGGGCCTCATGGGACCTACTGTGAGGCAGCAACCCCCTCTGCTGGCAGTGAATTGCAGCTCCACCAGTCCCAGTCCCAGTCCCCCCCCCCCCCCC